ATGAGATGATGACAAACAGCTTGTGTCTTGTGACTTCATGTGGAGTCAAAAGCCTGGAATTGCGTCAGCTACAAAACCACAATGAAGAAGAAGAAGAAAAGAAGCAGCTGAAACAGGTGGGTGAGCGCAGAATGGGCTGATGGGACAGGAATGGGAGCCGTCTGTGATTGGAGGCTCCCAGCTCCGGTAAAGCTTTCTTCTTATGTGTGTGCCATGTGCAAAGTGTTGATAAGCAGCATCATCCCACTGACTCATTAATCAACTGTGAAATGTACAGCTACCTGCCGCGTTCTTATTTCCGTGCCCCCAAAAACCCTGCACTCGTTTGCTCACTTCCTCCTCCACTCCTGTTTGAGAGAAGAAGAAACAAATCGGACTCTGCAATTATTCCCTCAGAAAAGATGCTATTCTTGCAGTTTTGCTGTTTTAAGAAGTGCACGAGTTGGATTTTACACTTGGATGTTCTCTCTGTTTTGCCCTATACCTTTGTGCTTTCATATATGCCATTGCAAACAGATAAGCACAACATTCTGGCTGCTCATCTGAGATTTGAAGCACTTAATACGCCTGCTCTCTGCTGCCCTCCCGCTATGCTAACATCCGCCTGAAAATCTCAAAATACATATTTTTGATTTTTGTAGAATTCCTCCAAAATGGTATTCTCCTGTATTACAATGCTTTGCAAATATTTGGTGATTTGTGGAAAATGGATTTAAAGCATTCTGTGCTACATAGATATACTACAGCATGGCTGAGTAGATAATACTTTCTTCACTCAGGTTGAATCCAGTTGTGGTAGATTTTTAACCATTGTGAAATAGGATTTTACAAACCCCAAATGTTTCATTTATATAACAGCAGACACATAGGCAAAGAGTCTTGCCCAAGGACACATTTTTTATGCACCAGGACTGAACCATTTTTGTTTAGACATTCCCTTTCTTCAGTGCCTGTTTTGACTGTTGTTCCCTCTCTTGAATATGTCATGTATTGTTTGTTCAGAAAGCTTTAGTTCTTAAAACCTGCACCGAGGTTTGTAAGGCAGATGCTGATAGTGTGTTTTAAAACTTCTTTAAAACTAGACATCAGTCTGGAGAAAAATAGAATTTTGATGAGTTTATTTGCATTTCCTGTGTGTCAGAGGCCTAAATTTATTTGCCAGTTTTGATTGCTTTTATGGAAGGCTGACTGTATAATCACTCAACAGTGCGTCATGCTTTTTTCTGAAAACTAAGCAACAAAGTGACCAAATCGATGTGTGATTAATGGGCACCGAGCCGTGGACAGACACACAGCATTGTTCAGGTGACAGCTGTATAAACAGGAAGCCAGCCGACGCTTTTGGCTGTAAATTCTCTGATTAAGTGGACTGAAAAGTGCTGCCCAGAGTTCACCATTCATCAGTTTGAAGAAATACGCAACAAAGGACAAAAAGTAGATCAAGGTATTTCAAGTGGTAAAACTTCAAAGTTCAAAATGCAGCTAGCGTAAATTCAGCCTGGAAGACCTCCTCAGACTTCATCACCTCACTCCACCTTGCTGGTCGCCTCACCTCCTTCTGTGCTCACTCTGTCCAGTTTACATAAACCCCCATCATCTCTCATCATCCCCTTCATTCTCCTCATCCTCTCATCATCCCCTTTACTCTCCTCATCCTCTCATCGTCCTCTTCACTCTCCTCATCCTCTTATCGTCCCCTTCACTTTTCTCATCCTCTCATCGTCCTCTTCATTTTCCTCATCCTCTCATAGTCTCATTCACTCTCCTCATCTTCTCATTGTCCCCTTCACTTTTCTCATCCTCTCATCATCCTCTTCATTCTCCTCATCCTCTCATTGTCCCCTTAACTATTCTCATCATCTCATTGTCCTATTCATTTTCCTCATCCTCTCATCTTCCTTTTCATTCTCCTCAACCTCTCATCGCTCCCTTCACTCTCCTCATCCTCTCATCATCTCCTTCACTCTCCTCATCCATGCCCATCATCGCAGTGTCTTGTGTTGGGTGTTTGAGGGTCAAAGTTAACTATCACCACTATAGTACAAATTCTACCAACTTCTTTTTGATCAAGAAATACCTCATCAGTTATATTTGACTAAAATGCCTTGGGGAAAGGAAATAACTGGAATACAGTTGATTTAATTAAATCTTTTGTGTTTTTTAATATGATTTTACCTGGGTGCGGAAAAATGAAATTGCTTTCAAATGAACTGCTAGTTTACTAGTTTGTGATTTTCTTTTTAATCTCAGTTTAGCTATTCAGAGCTTAAACAGAAGAGAAAAAACTTGAGAAAAGTTAATAAGTACCACTGTAATCATGAATCATCATTGCAACCATTTGAATATTTTTGATTTTCTAAGATATCATTTATCAAACATATTTTGAGTAATTGTAAAAAATACTCCAGTAAATTATTAGAGTTCACTGCACAACTTTTCTGGTGGAGGGTCCGCTATTGCTTTGCCTTGGAATGTTCCATGGTATGACATTAAACATATACATCTAAGATTTCTTCATTACAAGTGTTTCTATTGCTCAAAAATACAATAATTCCTTCTCTCCGCAGATGTGAATTATAATGCAGTGTAGTGCTGTAACCTGCTTGTCTCAGGATAGACAGGTTTAATCTATACTGTGGAACATTCTAGACAAAGCAATAACATTTCCATGGAGACAAACAGGTGGTGGGCTCTCCACTAGAAATGTTAGTGCACCTTTAAAGTAAAGTTACTCTGCACTGAGGTGTAAAGTTCAAATGCTGCAGTATTTGTATCTGACATTTTGGTCCTTCAGAATTCACTCTGCTCTCCTCCTTCACCACCACTGACCTGTGAATAATTCAGTCACTATGTAAAATACATGAGGGTGTAAATGAGTGCAGGTTTATATAGGCAGGTGTCAACACAGGTCCATCTGAACTTAAATTAACACAACACAAGAGACAAAACAAGAACAACAAGTAAAAGATTGAACAGAAAACTGTGTGTTCTTTTGGTGAAGTCTGGTCTCTGTAAGATACATTATGGACTCCAAAACCGGTCTCTGGATAATTGACAACCTTGCTGCAGTTAAAATTATTTCTTATAAATGTATCTTTTAGAAAAGGGCTGAACATAAGAAGCTCCTCTCTTATTCTGTCCTGTATTTAAGTTCATCTTGTGTGTTTGCCATATTCCGAGTAAGAGAATATTATTTATTTTTTGTATTCAGGTTTACTTAGTCATTTAGAAACCCATATTTCTGAGCCTTGGATTTAATACCTTGTACATAGCTGTTTCCCTCTATGCCATATATCATCATTGGATAAAACCGGAGCTTTGCCAGGAACATACAGTGTGTGATAAACAATGAGAAAGAGGCTGGATGCATGTGTGGACAGCATACACAAATGAATAATGCACCCGCCATTATACAAATAGGCAATTTATATGTGTAAAAGTAAGGACACTGAGTGGAGGAGGTAGACCTTGTGGTGTATGTTGAAGACACATGTTAAAATAGTGTTTAAAAATTCCCCAAGAAAATATAATAAATTAACAAACCGTTTCAAATGTTGTTATTGTCTCAAACTATCCATGATTTTCAGAGTGATGAAAATGTAGCATTGTTGCCATAGCAATTAACAAGTCAAAACATAATAAATTATCTTTTGAGTGCTGAAAGTGCCGAAACTGGCGCCTAAATAGATAATTGTACTGAAACATTAAGAAATATCTTGCCTGTCATGTTTGAGGAAAGAATCATTTAATTTAAACAAAATATAGTTCAGTTATACCATACTTAGATCATTGTATTTGCTTAGGATTTGAATCAATACCAGACAGGGATAAAACATCAAACATTGTGAGTGCTGTATATGGTGGCCCACTTAAAAAAAGATAAATAATTCACTGAAGTGTTTGACATCTGAGACCTCTCATCAGACTAAAATAGTAAACTTACGATTTGGGAAAATTGTTGTAATTTCTTCCAAATGTGACATTGAATCGCATTGTATATAGAATGAGCTCAGTAACCATAACACAGTGGTCCAAGGCTGATTTGACAAGTGTTTTTCTCTGAAGGATAATTAGACCAGTCTCAATTTGTGGTAATTTTACTCAGTAGCTTGCATTTATGTGGTATGTCTTGTATTGTTCCACGGCAAACATTTTTCTATAAGGTTATAACTTTCATGGCCAGCACAGTAACTGTGTGTTTATATGTATCATAAACATGAGCCAAGATATATTTTGGGTTATAATTTTGCATAAGCATAATCAAATGATTGTGATGACAGCAACACATTCAAATGCTCTTATCTGTCTTGTATCACACAGTGCTTTTGCCAAAGTTTGTAAAACTAATGAGTGGATGGATCTTAGTGAAAGGTCAGTGATATGTGTGATAAATGTTGATTTCTTTGATGCCATCACAAGTTAAGAGATATGAGAGATGTGTTTTGAATTGTAAATTTTGTAATCTTGTAGAGATGTTCTAGGCCCATTCATGTGTGTATGTGTGTGTGTGTGTGTGTGTGTGTGTGTATATATATATATATATATATATATATATATATATATATATATATAAAACTCAAAAGGAAAATGTAGAAATATTTCATTGTCATATTTTGCCACCTCTCAGCTTTATTATTACCATGGCAACAGCAAAATGTGACCTGTCAGACTGAAGCAGAGGATAGAACTTAGAAAAGCTGTAGAGTGAAGCCAAAGTGAATGTTTAATTCTGATTGCCCGACTGCCATTATTATGCAAGATTACACACACACTTTAGATTCATTTTTAAATACTTTAAACCTCATTATATGCTACCAAGGGCCACAGAAGAGATGTGAGATTACCTCATAACTTGTGTACTCTGAGGGGGCTCATCACTCCCTCTACTGGCCATTCTCCTTCATGTAAATGTTCAAAACATGAAAACACGGTACAATAGTCACACACTGTTTATGGCTTTCCAAGCAGCTTCCATAGATTGTTTTAATTGTATCCCTGTTTACATTCATTGTGATCAAACCTTCTCAAGACATAGATAGGAGTTGCATGTTGGTACCGAATACACTCAGTACAGGTAATGTCCACTTAGTGTGAATACTTCTAGCTTAAGGATGGAAAGAAATATATATACATAGTGACCGCTGACATATGGCCTGACCACGACATCTCAAATGACAATTGTAACAACACCTTTTAGTCTTTGTAAAAGTCAGCTAGCGAAGCAAATCAACGGGCTGCATGAAGTATGATCACAGTTACTATAGCAACACGTATGACACGCAAGAGTACAGCTTCAAGTTTATACAATGATGTCATCACACCCCTGTTGCCGTCCTCTGATTGGTCAAGATTCAAAGCAAAAAAGTCACATATAAGATTCTCTCACCCAACACCCTCCCAATTGTCTGTTGTGTTTTTGCAACAACTTCATATATATTTTTCTTTTCCTTTGGTGGTGCACAAAAGTCTTTGACAAGTTCAGCTTTAGTCCACTGGCGAGAGCATGAATATCCAAGTGTCTCTTCTCTTAAAGCTCTCCCACAGTTTGGTTCCGCCTTCACAATACATTAAATAGACAACACAAAGTCTCCTTATATTTTGCATTTGTTTTTTTGCACAATCCTTTTTTTTTTTCGAGAATGCCATTTCGCACTCACAGAAATCATAGCTTCTGCTCTCACGATCAGCTTGTGGGTGGATGACCTGTTTCTCTCTCTTCTTTGGCCATGCTTCTATAAGGCATGCTGGGTCAGGAACAGAGCCAACAGAACCAACCAGGTACCAGCACGCACACAGGGACCTCCATCCTCCAGCAGACCAGGGGGCTCCATCGGGTCATGGCTGGACTCGACTGGAAACTGCAGAGGGGGACAAAGCCGTGTAAAGGTTAGACATGAATCAGGCTCTCCTCATGTGGCATTTAATGAGAGAGAGGAGCTGAGACAGGACATCAGAACCACATCAGAGACAGAGAAATGACATGGGGTGCTGGCAATAACATGATACATTTGGTCTCCTAAATGTTCTGTTTTAAGTGTTAAAACCATGTGTCAGCAAAGTGACTGAAATGACCAAGGACAAGGTTTAGGAGAATACTTTGAAACTGTATTCCATTACTGCATGCAGAATACTGAATACCTGCATTAAAATGTATTTTGTAACATATTACAAGTCCAATCAAGTATTGTATTATGAATACTTGATAATATATATTCATATTTGTGAATACCAGACCCTTTTCATTTAACAGAACATAATATCTTGAGTCTCTTGAGTCTTGTGACAGAATTACACTTACAAAATTTCAAGATTTCGCATTCAAAACACATCTTCCATTTTAGCTTGTCATGGTGTAGTAGAACTCAAGTTTGATATATCGATGTCCTTGCATTGATGTTTGAAGTCTAAATTCAGTGGTTAGAGTGTAGTGTAAGGTAAGACACTTGGAGGTGGTCAGAGGGGCTAATGGCACAGATCGTCAGCTTTGCTTCAGTCAGACTGTTCCAGGGCAGCTGTGGCTACAGTAGTAGCATTCCACCACCGAGTGTGGAGTGAATGAGTAATACAATGTTCCAAGGCACTTAATGTGTCTTGAAAGGCATTGTGATTAAATACCACCATTATAACAGAATGCGTAACTTCCAGAATACAGTTGCTGAAAATGTTTTTTTGGTACATGTATTTAGTTATTTCCAAACACTGTGGCATAGGTACCAGTCACCCACACCCATAAATTACATTGGAGATGATTGAATAAATTATAATAATAATTCTTATACTTTTAACAAAGTACATAAGCAAGAGCCAACACATATATGGCGGTACAGTATGTGTGTGTGAACTACAGTCTACAGTTGTTGCTACCCTCGCCAAGTATGGAGTGAATGAATAATGCAAGGAATTGTAAAGCAACTTTGAACTGATGCATCATGAAATAACTAGATTCCAGTTTTGTTACCCAGATTACAAATAAAATATTATGAAAAGTATAAATGTGAATTTATCAAAGCAACAACTCACAAGAAATAAAACATTACATTGTCTCTGGCAGACCAAAGGTGAGGCATTTGATCCCCAAACTGTTTTGATAGCGAAGTGTGTTTCTTGTCCATACTGTTTGGTATGCTCTGTGCTCTTTAAACACACTGACTCCAAAGCCATGCTTCTTCCTATGAGTTTCCTTTTTCCTTTTTTTTTCTTTTGGGCTGTGCCAGCACATCTCTAAACAGTTTTAAAGCTATCATTACAGACTTTATTTACAAGGAAAACAGTCTACAAAGCCAGACACATACTGGTGAAGCCAACAGTAGCTGTGGATTTCTCTCTGTTTTTCATAAAGCATGAATTACTGATAGCACGGACCTCCAACAAGTAAGACCCTTGTTTGACTGAGAACAATAGATCAAAGCTCTGCACTGTTTACCTTAATATACAAGAGCAAAACGAAACACTTAACTGCACTGCCTGCAGTCCCTCATTTTCACTTTTCTATTACAATGGCCACATTGCATGCTTTTACATGAAATAGTGAAGATTTCTTTCAGTCCCTTTGCATTTCTGTGACACAAAGCAGAATGGTTTGCCTGCAAGTCCTGCTCTATTTACAAGGGCGCCATTTTCAAAGCACATCAGAGGGGTCATGGAACATTTTCATCTTGTTGCTGTGGCTATGCTAACTGCTGAGTTTCTACTATTCATACAACGATTTATGCATGGAGACATTGCTCATTTATAGTCTCGATCATGGTGAATGGCTGGAAGTAACCTCTGTCGGTAAATGTACTATATGTGTGAATTAGCTACAACACTATTAAAGACTGTCATAATATTCTATTTCAAATCATTTAACAAAGGTAAAAAACACAAAGTGGCTGGTATGCATTATGAATATCTATATTTGTTAATATATTTTCAAAATTGGGGAAAAACAATGTTGTGACTGTTCTGCAATTAATCCTAAAATGATGGTGAATATTTTGGAAGTGGAAGCAGACAACACATAAATGACAAAATAGCAAATGGCTCTTGTTAGCAACGAATGGTCATTTTCTATCAGTCACCATACAATTAGTGTTTCCTAAAAATGGTTAAGAGATAGTTGCCAGAAACAGAGGCATTGAAGCCATGGCTAGCCTGACAATGCACAAAAGACATCCTCAACTAAAAGCCAATTAATTAGCAGGGGCAGTGATGTGTAGCAGCAGCCTGTTGACATGAGTCCAGATCGCCTTTTGCAGCCAGCCTCCATATCTACACGCACACACATACCCCCCCCACACACACACACACAAACACACACATCGCACGTTTGCTTTGAGATCTACTGCAGTTCATAAAGCGTGACCGGTAAAGACAAGGTGGAAATGCTCTGATCTACAGCCATTCACCCACAGAACATCAGGTAACTGTGTGTAACTATGTGTACAACACCAATAGTTTTTGCTATCGACCCATGTTTGGCTATTTACAGTACAATTGCAGGGCAGCCTTTTCCCCCCAACTTATCGAGTTATCCTGAGTTACGTAGTCAATTTGATCTAGCCAAGCAGAAAATCAACAAATGTAACAGGGAAATTCCAGTCTCAGTAAATTAACACATTGACAGTTTATGGTATTAAAAGTGAAATGTATTGCGAATGAACGTGGGGGGACATTAAAATTCACATCAGGGGCCAAAGAAAATCCATTTTATCTCATCGAGGCCCACGCCAGTCCTGGGAATACAAACAAGACACTTACAGTTTCCTACCATCAACACAGTACACAGTCCTGTATATGAATATGAGACGGAGATACTCAAAGGACCAGCCTCCCTTACCAGCATGGGATAAAACCGGTAAGCAGCGCGACTGACATGGTGAATAATTATGCATCTAAATTAGCAGAAAACACTAAAGAATACAAACTAAATGAGTGACATGGGAAGGCGAGCAGCAGCAGTCACTCACTCATACACTTGCTATGGACTGTTTCTCCTCGTCTCATGTGGTTTCACTTTGAGTTTATTCACAAGTTCCTTGCATTAATTATAGCAGCCTCCTATAGGGCATGTGCAGAAATGCATTTGTGAGTGGTAATGAGAGAAAGTCTTTTTAAAGGTTATACATCATGCAACCTCTACCTGTATTATCTTGGCAATGGTTATGTGAAGCAACCAGAGTGTTATCTGTAATATCAGTAATATGCTTTAGTACTACTAACCCAGCCCAACTTTAACTTTATATTATTTGTCAGTTATGACTATATTAGTTTTATATCACCACCCAAATGTCTGCTTTAAAGTTGCACAATTGGTGATGACTGCCATAGATCAGAACATCGAATTTTATGTCATGAAAAAAGGTTGATTTAAATATAGATCTTATATTTTTGAAGGTGCACTATGTAACTATGCTTGTTTCTGTGGAGATGTCATTGCTTTGCCTGGAATGTTCCACAGTATGACATTAAACAGCTCTACTTTACATTGTTTCACAGGTTGACATGTGGTTTTACTGCTAAAAAAAAAATACTTAGAAAACAGGCATTCTCACTCTGAGTGGGGATTGCCTCTCCACGGATCTGACCTGTAACTTGGTCTGCTTAGGTCAATAACATCTCCATGGAGAAAAGCATTTGACAGGCCTTCCACCAGAAAAGTTACACAATGCACCTTTAAATAAATGCATAGATTTAGAACAGTTACACCCGTAATTGAAGCATTGTAAATCAGTGTGGGTGAATGAATTGGTTAATCCATAATAACTTTAGTTAAACATATTTTAATTCTGTTGATGCAGGTGCATGTTAGAGATGTTTGTTTTGTTTCCGAGGTTTGTTGTGATTTACACACTCGGACAGTTGGATCTTGAGCCAAGTCAACTCCCAACCAAAACAACACTCCCCCCAATTTCTCTGTCATGGAAGTTTGACAGTTTTTAATTGCCAGAACATACTTGTCTAAAGATGCTGGGCCGCCCAAAATGTCCCTTGCAGCTTCCTCCCTAATTATAAAGTTCCTGCTTGAGTAATCACACGTCTTATTGTTTCCTAATTACCATTTTTACAATAAATTAAACACAGCGCTAGTGCCAGACAGTGCATCAATACCTCACACACACATGCACAGAGCCAATTCCCCTGCGTCTCCTACCTTTCCCCAGCATACACACTGTTATTGTTATCAGGCCTGCTCCTTCATTAATTCTCCTCGTCACATATTTCTAAGGTTTTAATTTGCTGTCTTCCCAACAATGAGAGCCAGTGAGTAAAGCACAATGCAATGACTCTGTTGCACTGTGACCATTTAATGACTGCACGAGTCACTGCAAAACCTCAAGAACAAACATCTCAATGGGGAGTCATTCATTTGTATTTGCATTCAAGAATACTGTCTGCTTAACATGTTTGCACACAGCTACATTATTTGTTGTTATTTTCAAATCTGAGAGATAGGGCAGATGTAAGAATTTTGCCAAATTATGATGGTTAAAAGAACAGACTTTCTCCTGAACTGCAGCTTTTGACAAGGTTGTTCTTAATACAGTTGACATTTAAAGGGAAAATCAAATGCAGTAGTAACAAATGCCTAACAGATTACTATATAAGGGCACTATATTGAAGTCCTCAATGACATTCTTATTACATTCAGATGTCAAGCCTGATCTTTGTACATTCCCTGTAGTTTATTTAAAAGAGCATTTACAGTAGCAGTGAATGATGTTACAGTTATATGTTACAGTTGTATGTTACAGTTTCACAGTTGAAGCTGAAGTCAGCAGAGTAAAGGTGAAAAACATCATTAGTCTTTAACCAGAGGCAGCACAGCACATCTAAAATACATCTGTTAAACTCCACTATTTTTCATTGTGAAAACTCATCTAGCTCTATAGTTCAGTTTAAAGACAGGAAAGGGAAAATATCCATCTTTCTCCAGTGAAGGCTGAAATATTTTTGTGCAGTGAGATTGCATGGACTTCTGTGGCAGATGATATGCTCCTGTCATTGTCACATTTTATTTGAACAGAAAATGAAGTATTCGGCACTATTAGAAGGCAAACAGGTGCTGCATAAGAACTAGTTTGTCTCAGTCAGAGTGAGGCAGCCAGTCAGAGGTGACTTCTACAGTCTGCAGCAAAGTACAAGCCCTGGGCCAGTCTTTTAGCTGCTCTAATCCAGATTAAACCCCCACCTCGCTTCTCCATCATTCCATTGTGGAGCTGAGAAAATATTTATATATAAAGATTTCTTCCAAATGTCATCATCCTGGGTGTAGCATAAACTGACGATTATAAAGCATCAGGCCTGATTTGCCAATTACTTTAACAGGCAGAAAGATGGAACGTAATGCAAATGTGAAAGCTGCAGTGATTTGGGGTTAGTTATTTCACAAAATCCTTTATCAAACACATGATATTTTATTCTGTACTTTGGGATAAGGGTTGATAATTCATTTTTAGTGATTTTTTTACATTACATAATTAAACTCAAAATCATTCAAGTGTGCATAATGATGATGCTGTGTTAAAGAGGTTAACCTTTTGTGAAATGTGCTGAACTCATAGCTCCAGTATCACATAAGAATATGCCCTCTAAGTACACCACATAGGAACAGAATGTACTTTACCACTTAAGTACACATTAGCATCTCTGAACGACTGCAATTTTAAAATGGACAAGTGTGTAGTATAGCACCTGTAGGCATTACCTCAAGTAGTGCTAGAATGAACAGGTAATATTAATATTATTGCCATGGTAATAGCAGTGCATGTGAAATCAGAATATAATTAGTAATGGTAACAGTTATAAGTAAAACAGACATTGAAAGGCATGTGAACGTTGTAATAATATTTATGGTTTAAATAATGTTGTTAAAGGTGCACTGTGTAATTTTTTCACTTAGAATGTTCCACAATATGAAACTGAACAGATCTGCCTTATATTTATTAAATTATAGGTGTTTTTATTGCTCAAAAATACCTAGAAAAACATGTATTCTCACTGTGAGCAGTATATATATATATATATATATATATATATATATATATATATATATATATATATATATATATATATATATATATATATATATATATATATATATATATATATATATATATACTGCTCACAGTGAGAATACACTTGATACACTTTCCCATTTCTTTATCTTGTCTCACTGAAGCTTTATGCTGTGCACTTTTCAAACTGCTTTGGCCTGCTTTGCATCAATATGATGTCAATCCAGGACTATACAACCTCATTTTGTGTAAGAAAAAGCAGATTTGAAAGGACAAAACTACAACAATACATTCACTAGCCATGTCCACAGGTCCTGTACAACAGTCTCCTGCCTCTCTTAACAACTCTAGGACAACACTAATATTCACAAACATATATATAACATATATGTGTGCATTTGTCTACTAATTCGAAGGTTGGCAGTTCGAATCCCCCACTCATCTCCCACAGATAAATGCTGTTGTTGTGCCTCTGGGCAAGACACTTAACTCATCTCACCCCTCGTGTCTGTGTGTGAAAGGGTGAGTGGTTTGTTGATGTAAAGCAGTTTGCGTGCCTTGAAATTGGAAAAGAGCTATATAAATGTGTATAATAAATGTGACTATTTACCATTTACCAAAAGTGCAGTACCTCATATGTGTGAGTGCATGTATGTATTTACCTTACTGATGTATCCGTCAGTCCTGGGTGTGACAGGCAGTTCTGACCTCATTACAGTCACATGGGGTCCAGGGACAGACGTGCTTTTCCCAGCAGTGTTCTCGTTGCCGTACCCAAAGGCCTGGATGGCGTTCTCTGTGGGGACACAAACAGGAAGTCATTTGCTTTTGTACTGAATCTGTGCTATAAGCCAGTGAGCAGCCAGACAGCCTTAAGTCAACTTCTTGGTGTTTTGCCCAAGCTCTGGCAGCCGCGGGAATAAGAAGGGTGTGGAGAGAGAAAAAAAGGCTTGAGATTCATCGAGCAAAGTTATGCGTCAGACTAATCAACAGCAGAAATCTGAAGCTTAAAATGTACTACTTGGGAATAACTTCAAAGTTGTCTCCAAGCACAAGCATTTGTTATTTACACAGATGCATTCACAGTCGATAATATGTTTAAGTTTTTAATTAAACTGGTCATTATCATTCCTAAAGACACCTATGGACACACACTGCGCACAATATAGCTTTAAAACAGTGGCACTGTTGACGATTTGGATAGTTAAAAGTTTGTGAGCTTCATTGCAGCTGCTTAAAGTTCCACTAAAAGTTATTGTACCCTGTGCTAATATTACTTTTAGTTGAATTACTCTGTATCTATTGTAGTTATTAACTCATTGCCAGTATTATTTCATCTTTGCACTGTTTCTCCTTACGACCTCTTGTATATAGCTGAGGTATATTTATATTACAAAATGTCTATATTTAATTTTTTATTCTGTGTGTACAGTTATATAATTTCACCTTATTGACACCAGTCTTTTGCTATTTTTGCTACTTACTATGAATGTATTATTACCATTTATATTTTTGCTCTGTGTTATTATAATATACTGTGATATGTGAGCTACTGTGTCCAGATAATTTCTGTTGGTGATCAATAAATTCGTCTCAGTCCGAGTCTTAAGTCTAAATGGAGAGACAGTGGTCAGTGGTTGTAACTGCTATATCCAGGAGGTATCAAAATAAGACGAATCATATAATTGTGTGCAAAATGCATTTGGAGTTGTGTTAGCTCAGACACAGCAGTGAGCATCCATATTCTGTTCTGGTTATGTTTTTTAATGGGTGTGAGAGCATCTGCAAAATGTGATAAATCCTGCTCAGTGGGCTTTCCGAATGGATGTGCTCGAACAGCGCTGAGTACCTTTTCACTGCTCATCCCTTTAAAACACAAGCCTGGTACCTCTTTGTTCACCACAGAGAAGACAGCCCATGTAATTGCCTGGCAACCAACATCCATTATAGGGTCGGCATGCGGAATTGACTTTGAATTTAGATTTATGTGACTGATCAAATACAGAATATTACCAAACAAACGAGAGATGGCATTTTGCTCGTCACTTCGAATGGACAAACACAGCACTGGATAATCACATTGGTTGTTTTCAGCTTCTCAATGGGATATTGCCACACACTTACATAGGGCACCAAGAGCCAATATTACTGATGATTAACTATTTAATAAAAATATTTACTGACAAAATCCCCAAAGATAAAAACTCATTATTTATATGGTATTAGTCTAAAACCCACTATGATGATATTTATCCAACAACATCACATGAATAAGGTATCGAACTATATGTTTTTTTATGGCTGAAGCCGATCACAATTGTTTAGAAACCAAAGAACCAATGGGCGATAAGCTCTGCTGATAGGTTATGGACGATATGAAGACCTGACATTTCAATTTACAAACGATTCACCCACAGACTTCTTTTTTACCACAAACCTACTGTGTAGGCACGTTTTAGACTTAGACAAACTTTATTAATCCACAAGGGAAATTATTTGCACACAAAAGCTCACACATCACAATATAATTCAAAATAAGTAGCAAAAATAGCAAGAGACTGGTATCAAGCAGGGCATAAAAATACATTTATATATATATATATATAAACCAATTTCGTCATTAGGTCTCCTTTTTTTTTTCCCAGGGTACTTTGAGGTGCCAGGTCTAAATTGCGGAAATAACACAATAGAGATCTGTGTAGCTTATTTTGCTCTATCCTTTCCTTTTTCTTCAGGCCTGCTGCTCCATTGATTAAATGCTAAATCCGTGACTATCCAGTTGCTTGAACTTGTATTGTGGATGTTTTGTAATTTCTGTTTCTGTTTTGTCAGTCAATACGAAAAGCAAATTCTCTGGGGAAAATAGATTACTAGTGATATTCAAGCAACGCTCCATTCTAATTGATCTGGAAGAATGCATGTTTGTATTGTACAGTGATGGTGTGCATGCTACGGTGTAAATTTATGGCCTGCTCTCAGTGACTGCAGAACGGAGATGCTGCATTTTGTGTTATTTTTCAGGACGCCTCCTCAGCTCCCTGCCTCATCCTTCAAAGTGCACACTCAGCTAAAATGCACACCCCAGCAGTCTATTGAAATGGTCTGAAAGCATTATCCACACAATAGAACATGTTAAGGCAACAGTGTCATTGAGGTTTGATGACAGCGCTCTACTCCTTCTTCAGAGCATGCCATGAGTGAAAACGCATCTAACTACTTTGTCATACTGCAGTGGCCTGTGTACCACTCATTCACTGTACAAGATATATATTTTAGCTTTCGACATTATTCCATTTGGCTGAAATCGGCTGCCTTTATGACATTTTCCTCTGCAAGGCATAAGCCCTTTAACTCTTGTAGATTGAAAAAGAAATTCACATGCAAATGGTTTCTTTTGTATTAAAGCCGTGCCCAAGGGATGGATGGTGGAGTGATAAGCCATTACATGTTTCTCAGTGCCTAAGAACATCTCATTCCAACTAAATCAGTGTCCATGGATAACTTACAGCAAAGTGAAGCGAGGAAACTTTCACTGGTAATTTGTGCCTCCTGTCTCATTGTGAATCACAACCGAACTTGCAGTGTGCAGTCTTAATATGGACATGGCTCGATTTCAAAGAAGGGTGCCCTAAACTAAACAGACCATCTATGTTGATCTTTGTTCTTGTTCAGTCAACTATGACCTCAACCTTGGTAGACACAAGTGAAAAGTTATAGCGTTTCAGGTTCATGCAGCTAAAACCTGGAACAGTCTTCCTGAACATGTGAGACAGACTCTTTTGTGACGCTGTTTAAATCCAGGCTCAAAACATTTCTGTTTAACTGTGCATATAACTGAAAGGTTTTCATTCTGCACTCTTCTCTCCAATTTATGTCTCTCTTTTTAAAATTTAATCTTCATGATTATTTAGGTTTTGATTTGTTTTTTTTAAATGTATTTCTTATTCTGTAAAGCACTTTGAATTACTTGGTGTACGAATTGTGCTATACAAATAAACTTGCCTTGCCTTGCCTTGCCTTATGTCCAGTTTTATGTGACTATTTGCCTATAGCAGTTAATTGATAATTATAATAATTTGTTGGTTACCTCCTCAGTAATTCTGGAAAAGACCACTGTGTAGATTGTCCCTCTCGAAAGCATGGCACCACTGCATGATGTCATCAGCTGCCGATCCCAACAGTCTACTCAATCCATTCACTTTTACCAGACTTCTTATGATCATTTCCCTGCTCAAACCACCTAGCCAAAGTTGGCTGTAGCAGCCATTGTTTTAGCATGATTCAGACTCTACCTGAAAAAGCCTGAATAATGGATAATATATTTAACACCTTGCACCCATTTCTGAAAACTTGGTCAAAATGTATTTTGAATTTTAAAAATACATACTAAATCTAACGTGTCACTCAAAGATCTATAAATATATATATATATAAATTTATGTCAGGCCCTCACTCTCAATTTTTCCATCAGCCGCCCTCATCATCTATTTCCTATAACAACACACACACCGACAGAAAATCATTCAAGTTACATCAGATCAATGCTACATGTTTTTACATGACAGCAAGAGTAACTACTGCTAGACAGCTCTGTGTTCATCAATATTACATGATCGGTGGACCACTATCAGTTACTCACATCTCTACATACCCGCTCATGTATATACAAAGATAGCTCACTTAGACAGGCATTATGGGTGAAGTAGCGCAGGATCTTCATACACTCCTCCTCCTGGTTTCCACTGCCGTCACACATACAGGCCGGAGAAACGGTCCAGTTTGAGAAGCTGCTGTCCACGTAGTTTGGAGTCATGTCTGTCCCTGAAAGACATCAGGGAAAAACAGTTGATAATTGGCACAAATGGACTGCATTCATTAGTATCACATTTGTGCCATTGTGTCATGTACTAATTTAAACAGACATATATCAATACACTCAAGCAAGCAGTCACTCTTTTATGCTTTCTGCTCTGGAACAATACAAACACTGGCTTATTACCTGTCAGTGGATTTTTACCAATTAATATTTTTAGCCATCATAATTACTGTGTATCAGATGTTTTTTGTCTAAAACAATCCTCTTTATTCCATCTTTTTGGGACTAGTACAAGGAATCTTTTGATGCCCATGGCCTTATGAAAATTCAAACTTGGATTGATGCTGCTCCACCTGTAAACCTGTTTTGCTTTGACAAATTACTTTTTAAAATCCCGTCTTAATTATCTAAATACCTCTTCCATGTTTTACTCCCAAACAGATGGCCATCACTTTTTTAATAAAGTAACGATCTCCAGTACTGAAGGTCTCCAATTACCTCAAGGAGAACGCAAGTCCAACTGATTAACTCTACAGGCACACGTTAAAATGTTTTGGGGAAGAGATTTAAATAATCTTTTATTAGTCCAAGTAAACACATACCAGATTTGGGGCAAATAGAGTGCATCCATTTGTTTTCCTTGCACTGATTTTCCTATAAGCCTACAGGGTCAGCACATTAAAACACCAACCTCCCTGTCTTATGTGCTTGTGAAATTCAAATTGCTTCTTACTTGTTTATCTAGGTCTTGGACTTAAAAAAATGGTAAATGCGGACTTGATTAAAATAAAATAGAGAATAAATAAACAAACCAACGAAGCACAAACCTATGAGTCGTGCATAGGAGGCCAGACAGGCTTGATGGTTTCCCTGGTTGGGGCAGTTGCTCACTGTGTGCTGAATCTCGGCACAGTTGACGTAAAAATCCACCAGCCGCGACCTGCACAGCAAACACAAATCACAGTCAGATAAGCAGGTTTATCCTCTCCTACATGCATGTGTGAATTCAAAGCACTGGACCTGATTCTACTGGCTCTGTTTGCTCTGACTAGCTGCCAATTGTACCCAGCATCAAACTGAGAAACTATAGGAAACATCTGCTTCTGTTCCCCTACAGCAGGTGTGAAGAATACCAACCAGTTCTCCACAGTGTCCTAACAAGCTATTTTCTATCTTTTATTCTTGAAAACTATACAACTTTGGCCTTGTTTTTGGACATCAGAGCCACTTCTCCCAAACTCGCTTTTCCCCAACCGGATAAAAATAGTATGTTTTGTTTCAGTGCATGTTTGTGATAAGAGCTGGGAAAGCCCTGAGGTGCCATTGCTAATCTTTTTAAGTCGGTTTATTGGGAGAAGTGAGTGCAAAGTTGCTCTGTCTGTACTGTTCACATCACGGTTGCCCACACAAGTCCCAGAGTCTGCTGCGTACTGAGTCATCCATGCGACCGATTCAGAGCCGAGTTCAAAGGTGCAATGGCACACCTCTGGCACACTGGCCACAAAGGGGAGCAGCGTCATGCAGAAAAACCCAATTTGGCAAACAGGCAGCTACTATTTTGTCATTTTTTCTCAGTGACATTTTAGAGCTCACACGGAGTGCTGTGATTAACAGTGACACTGGTTAATTAAGATAAAGTAATGAGTTGTTGAGCTGTTCTGGGGCTGTCATGGTCTTTGTTTGCCCAATTAAAGCAAAACTTTGTATGTTCTGTTCAGTTTGTCAATTTACTTTTGTCAACAACAATGTGATTTTTGACAAATTCATAATAGACAAAAACTGTGCAAGCTTTACCCGTGGAATAGTAAAACTACTACAAATACTGTTAAACAACTACTTTTAAAAAAATTTAGATTGACTTTATCATAATCAGAACTCTACAATACCCTGTAAATAACAAACTGTGCCAGCTCCTATAATAAGTGCAACATAATGAGTGCAGGTTCAGTTCTAAACTCTTCCATGGCTTGCTGCATAAATTCAGTCTTCAGACTTTCTTTTTCAGAATTGACAACACATATTTTAATCAAATTAAAATGTACAGGTTTAAAGGTAAACTGTGCATACCTTATGATGGTAAAGAATGAATGTTTCATGTTGTGTATAAAACCAAGGTGCCCACATATCTCTTCTGTGACTTCATGGGAAACAGCATGTCACTCTTGTGACTCTAGGCTAATGTTGTATGATGAGGTAATGCTATATGTGTGTGCCCATGTCAGTTGCTGTCCTCCTGTATCTACACACAGAGCCACTGTAGTGTGATGGTCCAGCCTCCAGCAGCTAACCCCACTGCGGTCATTACTCCACATTCATCTCCAGTCCTCCTCCTCTTCCTCCCTCCCTCTCCTCCTCCTCCCTCTCGTCCTCCTCCTCTTTCTTCTTCTTCTTCCTCTTAAAATGAGCGGCCGTTACATGCTCCGCTCTGCTTTAGCTGTGCTTCACAGGGCAGTGCGCTTGTGCTTGCTCTGGCGTGGCTGACACAGACAGATATGCACCAACACAACAAACACGCAAATGTCATCTCCGTGGTACTGAATGCTAATGTAGATAAAGAGGGGAGAGAGTACTACAAAGTTATCTGTCAGTCCACCTGTTTTCAAAGTACTTCATTGCTTTTGAATCGAGAAGAACATTTTATGAGCGCGATAAAGAAATACAAGGTGAGTGAATGTTGTGCCAGACGACTGCACGACATTTCTGTTTTTTGATTTCTCACAGTGTTTGATGCTAACAAAGAATCCCACATTTTGTCAGAAAAAGGCAAAGAGCAGAGAAGATTAAAGCGCCGAACAAACGCCTGTGTTTCTTTTTAGAAGCGGAGCTCTCTCAGACAATGACGGCTTAAAAACAGTAATTTAAAGTTTAGAGAGGTGTCCTGAGTGTTCAGACAATGGTGTTCCAACACAGGGATGCAGCCCGTGCCACAGCTTCCACCGGCTTTCCATTATACCTCGCTGAAGCGCCACTCGCAGCTGAAATTACAGGCTGTCGAGCTCAACACAGTTTTATGGTCATTTCAGCCACTCAGCCCCCGGGGGAAGTGGCAGGGGAGCCCCAGCTGAGGTAGACTTCTTTCAAGGCAACCTGACACTTTAAACACAGTGATTGGGTGCAGCGTTGAGTGCCTGTCCATCCACCGTGGCAGTAATAGAAAACTAATGGCTTTTTATATGGATTCTTATTCCTATCAGTGAGCGCCGTGACAAACAATGTGACTCAAATCAGATGATGTTAGCAGCAGAAGCTGTTTCATTGCCAAAGAGAGGAAGCAGTTATGTACTTCAGAGTCCTCTAATATCCTGCACTCTACATTAAAACTATTGGAAATACTAATATACAGACTTCCCACGGGTATCTGCAAATAAGACTTGTACTTATAATAATTTGTGTTAACTGCCTTTTGCTCCTATTTGTTATCTGGTTCTTCAGTTAGAAAGCCATAGAGACACTGTATCACTTACTCATCTCTGGATGCATAACAATAACTGGCTCACAATGACTGCAGACATAATGGCAGTTACAACAAGAAGCAAATGAGAAAAACAAAGTCCATTCTGTCTGTGGTGCATTTGGCCCTCACTTCCTCCACAGGCATTATGGAGGCACTGCTCCTATTAGAGTCCTGCAGATGATGTTACCACTGATAATCATCTCAGTAATATCAAACTTAATGATGATGAACTTTGACCTCTCACTGAATAGGAACAACAGCCCAATTGCAAAAATGTCACAACAAATAAGGACTTGTTAAAATATAAATACACATGAAAATGTGTTCTCATAGTCTTTTTCAATGTCATCCATAATCAGTGATTTATTTTACAATGGCATTGGGGTTGAGGAGCAGTGCAGTATAAAGGTGCACTGTGTAACTTTTCGGCATGGTGGAGGTTATTGAGGTATTAATTCTTTGCCTGAATTGTCCCATTAAACACATCACTCTCACATTAATTGAGTTCCAGGCATCTTTATTGATAAATGCCTTTAAAAATCCCTCACGATAGATTTGAAGTGTAAATTGGTTTGACAATATCACCTTCTTGTCTCTATGGAAATAGAAGTGCAAAGTCATACAGCAAACATTCTAGGCAAAGCAATAACCTCTCACCTTTAAGCATCATCTGGATAAGAGGTGACTTTTAATTGCTTTTGTACTTTGTATAACAGTGCTTTTACTTGAGCTCATAATTATTTTAGTATAGTTTGCCACCCCAAGCTCCTCTCAGAATTGCCATGACAGAACTTGGCCTGTCACTGCCCCCAATGGGATACTCGGTCAATACTCTAAAAGGCCAGACAGATGGCATTTGGGCAAACAACATGAATAGTTTAGCTTAGCTCGAAGCTCTGACACTGTGTTTCTGACCCTTTCACTCTCCTGAGGATTGCAGCAACTCCAGCAGACTTGACCTGCAGTTCATTATACAGCAGTGTCTATGTAATGTCAATGTAAATACAGTCACAGTGACCTGCAATGCAACAAATTTAGACACTAGATATTGTTACGTGTCTAGACCACCCGCTGTACGGCCCTCCTGAGTGCTATGTCCCTAAATCGAATACTACATCAAGTATGCCACCCGCACCACCACCCCGCAACTGTGTGTTTGCTATGACTGAGTAGATTATTCAAGGTTATCTGAACTCCCTAAATACTCTTTGAACAAGACAAAGTCTGCCGACAATGTGTAAATCAAACACGAAGTCCAAATCTGTCTCCAAAAAATACTCCGGAAGTAGGGATTCTTGCCATAGAAATTGATTATACATAATTAAAATCAACTCTTCTGTAGCAAAGACTGAGACACATTGTCCTAAAATTGAAGGTTAGTAAGTTAGTGGTGCCCATTGAAAATCACAGAGCAGATGTTCCTCTTGTAAAGGGCTCCAGGCCTGCTGATAATATTTACATGAATAATTGATTGGAGCATTTAAGGAAGTGATTGTGGAAGGCAGGAGACAGTGGGTAATTATACTCTTTCATTCATGTCCTTAGAGACCAGAGTTTGGAAAGTACTGTTATTAAATGCAACTAATTTTTCCAACACGGCTCCATTGAAGTTGTTGGAAGTAACATGATCCTTTTATATGATTTAGCATAATTTATATATTTTGAGGGGAATAAAATCCTTCACCTTCCAACTTTAAAATCATATTAAATTAAAGGTGCCCTGTAGAACTTTTCTAGTGGGTTTGCTGCTTGTCTTCATGAATGTTACTGTTGTTGCTTGTTTTTAATGCTCACAAATGTCTTAGAAAATGTTCTTAAAAATCTAACTAGTAACTTGGCCTATAGTGTCACTTGCTTGTATCCGTGGAGACAATGTACTATGGAACATTAAAGACAAGGTAATAACTTCCCTCTGGAGACAAGCAGTTGCCAAACCGTCCAACAGAACATTTGCAGTAGCAGCAAACTGAAAACAGTATTCAATAGTATATATTTTTTAATCTCTACGTGAGATCCCAGTAACAAAGAACTTGTCTTTTGAACCAGTAATTAGTCCCAATCCCTCCAGAGCTTACTCCATTACACTGACTCCCCATAGTTCCTTATTTAATATTGCACTGCACACCGTTAGACTGGCTTTTAGTAAAACATGCATTTTTTAACATTTGCCTCTTTTTAATCCCCACATTTGATTAGTTTTTTTCACATTATTTAAAGAGTGAGTGTAGTAAACCATTGATTCAGCACCATGGTTATGATCAATAAAACACAAACAATTAGCCTGACAGGAAGCTAAAGCCTAATCGCTGATAGAGAAGTCATCCATCTTACCTGTCCAGTGGACAAACTCTGCTGTTGGTATTGTATAATTAAAGCCTGCCTCAATGAATAGCATTATTTCAGGTAATAGGGAAAAAGTGAGAAAAGTGATAATACAAAGTACAACATTTTGACTTGAAACTGCAAAGTAACCCAGTCATACACTGTAAAAAAAAAAAAAAAAAAAAAGGGGGAAGAATCTATTATAGTTGGTAGAACTTTAAGGTGTGTCACTTCATCATGTTATTGCTTTGTCAAGTATGTTCCATGGTAGAGATTAAACCTATCTCAAGGGAGACAACTATAGGCTAGATGCAACTGTATTCAAAAAGAGAAATCTTGTATTTTTGATGTATTTTAAATGACTAAATGCTAGATAGATGTGTCATACCATGGAATGTTCCAGGCAAACCAATAACATCTCCATGGAGACAGGCAGATGACAGACTCTCCAACAGAAAAGTTTCACAATGCACCTTTAGCATTAGTCTCCTTAATTAGACCTTAAGTTCCTTGCACTTAGTGGATACATTTTAGATTCAGACAAGCAGGGGACAGATGGACAACAGGCAAAATAAAATAGAATTATGTATTTTATGTGAAATAGTTGTGTTCACATTTAAAGGTACATTGTCTAACTTTTAGGTTGTGGTCCGTCACCTGCTTATTTCTACGGTTATGTCATTGCCTCTGGCTGGAATGTTTCACAGTGTTACTTTAAACAGCTCTACCTTACATTTATTAAATTACCTTGAAAAACAGGCATTCAGACAGTGAGCGGGGTGGCCTTTCCACAGATCTGACCTCTAACTTGGTCTGGTTTGGTCTCAGTGAAGGTAGAAAGATTTAATATCATACTGTGAAATATTCCAGACAAAGCAATAACATCTCCATGGAGAAAAGCATTTGACAGACCCTCCGCCAGAAAAGTTACACAATGCACATTTAAGTTATAACAGCTCAACAATAACTCAACAATAAGCAGATAAGCAGATTTTGTTTTGTTTTGTTTTGGTCCCACACTCTTAATAAATATTTAGATAATGCCCTAGCTGTTGTAGGTCAGCGTGTATTGTGAGCAGAACACCTTGGTACATTCTCAAAACTGGGTCAGCAACATAGGTTATGCACAGATCAATTTTCTCCCAGGTTCTCATGTACCTGAAAACCCAGAGTAGCCTCCCCTGCCCTGTAATGGTGGAGTATAAATCAAAGATAGGAGTGTTACATTGATCTATTTAGGAATCCGTACTGCATACAATTCATTGCACTTTGGATTAAGCACAATCGAGCTGGTTTAGCATCAAAAATGGATAGGGAGTTCTGTAAAGATGCTCCCCCATTCAGAAAAAGCATCTCCAAATATAGATCATTGTCACTCTGTGGACTCAGCAGCAGTCCCCGATGAATACATGCAGGAACTATCGGAGGTGGTAGAGAGAGGAGGAATGCCAAATGAGATCATATGAAAACATCTCCTCTTTTGTAGAAGAATGTGGATCAGGGTAAGACTGTATAAAATATAAGAATCCAAGAGTAACAAGAGCAGGTATAGCTCTTTTTGTCTACACTCCTGTATCTCTAGAGGATGTCAACAACAGTTTCCATTGAGACCATAACAAAATCTGTTCGCACATATGCTGCCTATTATAAAAGCCAAAGCCAAATTTCTAAAACAATTACTGAGCCATTGACAGAATCCTGGGTTCCAAAGCAAAAATTCCTTCTCAGCATCTGCTGTATTATTTGAAGTTCTCACTAGCTTTCACAGCACTGAATAAATGATAAAGTTGTATATATATTTAAGTATGTTTCAGGCTGGGAGTAAGCAGGCATGACCTCTTGTCCCTGAGATGGTGTTGTTATTGGGAGTTAACGGTTGACTTTGAGATGGTCATCAGAGGTTGATGAGGCTCCATAGGTGTGTGACCACTGACCCCAGCATACTGCAGTAGTTTTATGGCCTGGATCGATCTTACAGGCCTCCTCCCTATCCTCCCCTCTGCCTCATTATCTGCCTCTCTCTTGTCCTTCTACGACTGTCCTTAGTGTTAAAACAGGATGTGCTAAGGTGCTGTGTTTGGTGTGTCCTGTGGTCCAAGCCTGACAAACATGCTTTGGTTTTATTAGAGCACCCATGGGAAACGAACAGGCCAAGGTGCTAGAGAACGGAGAACTGTTTGAAGATCAGAGGTAGTAGTCATAGTCGTAGTAGTAGTAGTAGTAGTAGTAGTAGTAGTAGTAGTAGTAGTAGTAGTAGTAGTAGTAGTAGTCGTAGTCGTAGTAATGGTAGTAGTTGTATTAGTTGATACAAATTACCTACATACTGTTATCTACCTATTTAATTCATTATTGCAGCACCTTTCCTATTACTACAAGAGACTAAGAGACACAATGTTTACATTTAACTCTCGCTGTTGATGGTTTATATGAAAATCAACACATGAGATATTAAATAATTGTTTAGAAGGCATCAACTGAATGGGGTTTAGTTCACTGTATTTTTCTAGAAATTCTAGTAGTAGCAGTAGTAATAGTGGTAGTAGTAGAAGTAGTGGTAGTGGTAGTAGTGGTAGTAGTGATAGCAGTAGTAACATTTATTTAGTACATGCAAGGACCTGTACTACTCAGATTTTCCACATAGAATCATGACTCCTTCTCAAGTGATATTATTTCTGAAGTACCAATAACAGCTTTTGAGCACAATTTTTGACTACTCTATCCAACTGCCTCAAGCTGAGCCTTTCAAGGTGGCATGGAACTCCCTGCTATCTCTTTCTTAATCTCTATTAGCATAACAAATTAGTTTAAAATTAAATTTACCTGAGTTGTCACTCTGTAGGTGAAGAACAACTTAACATAATGACATGGTGCTTAATGTGATGGATCAATTACTTTATCTGGTGATTGTAAAATGTCGGCCTTGCCGAGGAGGACTGCCTGGAGAATATGTAAAGAGGCGTTGGACCAGCCCTCCCCTTTGCAGTAACAGCTCTATAATTGAGTGTTGGCCACATTGCGGTGCATAGATAATTCCCAGTGTGAGGCAGACACATGGAGCCTCAGTGCCTTCACAGAGTCACCAACATGTGTCTATTCTCTTTAAGTGCACACATCGAGCTGTTGACCCCAGCAGGCCATTGCAGATAATGAGCTCCTACGTTCTATTTCATCTTTCTCAATAAGGGGGTACAAACCACACACCCGGGGGGCAGAGGGGTCAAAGAAAGCACGCCAGGCTGAAAACAGATTACACAATACAGCCGAGCAGGTAATTATCAAGACAATCATAAATCGAAGGAGAAGCAATAGAGTTTCCCTACTTTAGCATTGTGCAGGCTGAATTTAGTGTTCATCGCAGGGAATTGGGTTTTTGCCATTAAGGCTAAATCTTCTCGCCTGCTCACCTGTATGGAAGCTAGACAAATGTAGCCCACTATATAGTATACAAACAGAGACTTTTAACAAAAGCAAAGCAATATATGGTACCAACTCACAGCTCAAGTCCAATTTACACTTCATTTACAATAGAAGGAAGCAGCAAGTCTGTTCACAAACACCAAAATCTTCTAATAAGCTATCAAAAGTAGCATCTAATTAAAAACGACTGTGAAGGCTGCAGTGACCAAAACAATGATATACAAGATACATGCTGATTTCTTACATTTCCAAACTTAAATATTTTTTTCACACACTCAAATAAACTTTTATAACTGCTGTGCAATCCTAATTCAAAACGCCAACTTGCAGAACTATGCAGCAAGTTAATTGACTGCTATAGAAAGCCAAAAGGTCCTCATTATACTTCACTATTTTTAGCACTGATCTCACAGTTTGTTAAAGCCCATTAGCTTCATTAAAGAAGACTTAAAGTTTTCAAAGTACTGCCACTTGATATACTTTAAAACTAATGGAGTGACCCCAGGAGTACATTTGGGGTGTAACGAGATCTGACAGTGTTGTATGTTGTACCTAGACTAGCACTAACACAGGAAACATGTCACGGCTGGCTAGGTGAGAATTGAATCCAGCCACTTGAATCCAATAAGGGCTCCATGCAGACAGAGTCATCCACTAATGTTTTGTTCAGCCTAATTGAGCGTTGTCCCTTTAACTTAGCTTCACATCTTCATCATGTCTGTAATAGCCTCCACTTCTAATTACTGCACTGGCAAAGTTACAGAAAGGAGGAATTGGTATCAAACTTTGGTTTACCATAAAAAAAAAAATTAAGTTGCAGATAATGACCAATGCTACACACACTACATATATTAAATTTTTTCATCATCAGAATATTATATGTCATATATGTCATAGTTTTATTTAATTTGAGATTAGTGTAAAAATACATACATACAATACAAAAAAAAAAATTTCTAATCTCATATGTCAATGTAATTCCAGACCTGATTGGATCTGGACAAGATTAGGCCTATTATAGTCCATGTGTGGCTCTTCTGGTCTGGACTGAGTTATTGTGCAGTCTCTCTTGTACTTGTACTCATATTTGTTCATAGACTTGGATAGTTCAATACTTCTAGGTCTTTTGTCTAAATGTTTCAGAAATACTGAGCTAAACCACGATTCAGTAATGTCAAATCATCAATGATATGTGCTTGGGTCTTTTTAACTGACCCAATACTTTTTCAGTAAAAACATGACATTTGAAGCAGAATTCAGACTGTTAAATTGAATCAAAGTTTGTATTGTTTATGTTTTAAAAAATCTGTATTTATAGTTTTTTTTGGCATATTGCCCAGCCCTACCATAGAGGAAAACTCGGTGTCCACTGTATTATTATAATGTAAAAGTTTAAATGACTCCTTAAACACACAGCATGCAGTGGCTCTCACCTGCACAGAGAGTCCAGTCGACACACACGCTGCAGCTCCAGACAGTTGGGTTTGACCTTCTCTTTATAGGAGCAGTCGGGCACTATGGTCTGCCTGCGGCGCTCAGCACAGCCCTCTGTCTGACAGGGGCAGAAAAGCAGGCGGTGGCTGTACTCGGCAGGGACACGGTCCAGAAACACGCGTAGGGCTTTGTGGCAACGCTTCTTGTTGCAAGTGTCTCCTTTGGGGTCCTCTTTGCTGCAGGTGACGATGTAGGCTGATCGGTGCTTCTTACAGTTGCTGTTGAGGTTGCAGTCTTTGGCAGCATTCAGACAGGGGTTACAGGTTCTATCGGCCTCGGGGCAGAAGGATCCTTTGGGGGCCACTGTGAGCATGCCTGCCACAACACAAACATACAAAAAGATGTTCAAAAAGCTCCAGATTTTAAATATACTGTACATCGCTGGAACAGACAGTTATATTAATTTGTGTATTTGATTAAATGAAACAAAAAATCTATGTGTTGGCCCTCGGACTCAACACCATCCATCTGATAAGATTTGCAGTGGAGTTAGCTGCAACAGAAGATCAATAAAACAATAATCCTAACGTCTGAGCCAGAGGGAGAGTGCATTGTAAATGTGAGAACACTGAGCACTGGAGAATGCACTAGATTCTTCAGTATCTTGTACATGTGTACTCTTTCTTCAACAAACAAACTGTGTGTCAGGAACAGCCTCCTCCCTCATAGACAGCTCCATTGTTATTGTCTTTATGTCTTTCCATGCTTACTGTCAACAACAAATTTGATCAATAGCATTACATCAAATGGTCAACATTTTTTTTAATGTTCAGATGCAGTTATTAGTTTTATAATGTCTGTTACACTGGCAGATTTTTTGAATCTCTATAAAAATAATAGTATCAAACTCACTTACAGTACAATCATATAATGACAGTTATCTAAGCTGTTCAAATATACTTATTTTGTTACATATTGTAGTAAATTTATACTTTTGGGTAGAACACAAATTCACCTGTGGATGAGATAACTTCTTGCCACAATAGAGGGCTTAAGTAACACTTTGTCTAATCCACACTGAATGACTGGTTGAAGCAGAAGATTGAGTCCTCCTCTGGAGTAATCACAGAATGTGGGCTTCTCTGGCCCTCTCAGCACATCCTGTTTGCAGCAAATAATTGATGCGTTTGGATGTAATACTTGAGTTGTACACAAGCATCTCTTTCTCCCATGCATCAGTAATACACTCCTATTCACCAGTGGCACCTTTCTAGTATCTCAGTGTTATTAGAGAACTTAACCTCCCCACCCTGAAGATAATGATATTTCAGAGGTCGTAGAGCGATCGCGACACGGACAGAAATTCATCTCTTATTCAACACATCCAATCTCCAAGTGTGTCTATCAGGCAGCCTGCAGCTGGACAGACGCATTTATTCTGAGGGCTCTGCCAGAGGTGCACACACTTCCAACTGCACTGGGCATTATCAATCCTGGAAATGACTGCATATGAAACACACCACATGTACAACTAAACACCAAGTATGCAAATCTGATAGTGGTCTTTTCATTTTCACAATGTAAAACTATGGATTTCCAAATGATACAGAATCATTTTTATTTTCACATTATGTAGCTTATGTAAGGTTCCATAAAGATCACTTTGCTCGTAATGTTCCACAGTGTAGGATAAACATATATCTACAGAGAAAAGGTTAGGTTAGGTAATGCTGCCAGGTCACATGAGAGGTGTCCAGTACAGTAAGACGCTTGTGTTTCAAGATATTTATTAGCCATTAAAACATCCATAAATGAATAACTGCAAGATAGATACATTTAACATTCCAGCAAAAGTAATTGCAAAAGTAAGGAAATGTTTATAAATTGAGACATTTTCCTTTTTATTTTATTTTGGGAAATCTAAATATTGTTTGAATAATGTGTTCTTTTAAATAAATGGTTAGCAGTTAGTAATTTATTTAATGTCATTCTTAAATTTGTTTGACTCATGATTCCAACAGCTCCATTACAGTTGGTTATGCTGAAGGGCATTTGTCTAAAAACCTGAGTAGTTTCTCCATTATCTCATTCATGGATTTTTTAAATTTATTTTTTTATTTTAATATTATTATTATTATTATTTGTGTTTCCAAGATAAATAGAGTGTACTGCCAGTTTAATATTCATTGGTGTTTGTCATTAGGGAAAAACTCCATCTGTATCCAAATATTGAAGAAATTAACTTTTTATTTCATGTGATAAAATAAGACATCATTCCTTTAATCAAATCTTTACCCTGCTGCTCTCTGAGGGGAGCCGATAAACGCTTTGAAACAGATGTCGGGAAACATTTTCAGCCTTGCAGGATTGTTGATTTAATTTGTCAGTACGACAGTTACACACATCACATCTTATGGACAAGATTCAACACAATTAGCCTGCCTTGTCGAGTGGGAGCAACTTGAATACGCCATGATTGCACCCGTTACTGAAAGGATTTGCGGATGTGAGTTTGGACCCATTTTTTCCTCTATAGTCAAAACTGGGCCAGGGAGAAGAAGCTATGGGCAGCTATGGGTCCAGCTGGAGGAGAGGTTAGCGGGTTAGCGCTTGTCCAGTTGTTGAGGCTACGTTGATGGATTGCAGTTTGGAAATCTCCCTTGGCCATCTGCAGCCTCTAATGTGAGCCGCTGGGGGGTCCAGGATGAAAAAGAAAATAAGAGAAGGATGAGCTACGAAGATTTATCTGACCAAGCACGGGCTACAGCCGCTTCTGAGCCAGCCGTAAGGTCGGCTTTTTACTACCTATGATTGGAGAGCTGAGATTGAATTTGGTGCTCAACCCAAAAAGATGTCCTGGGGCGAAACATAAGATACAAAGCTGACTTGAGGGCTCTTTGCTCCGACATGTACACAAACAGGAAGGAAGCAGCCTGAAGGGAAATGTGGGATCGTATTACTAACTTGTAATTGATTTTCTAAGTGCATGACAATAAAGGTTTTCAGAAAACATATCGTCACATAACGTAAAGATGTTGATAAGGTAATGGCTGGAGAAGAAGAAGTACAAAATGGAAAAAGCTGGTGGAGAAAAGAGGAGAGGAGGCTTCAGTAGTTGATTACACGCTGATACAAAGATGAAATGAGAGGACACAGACAACAGATTGGACAGCCACTTACAGACGCTAGAGGGTTTTCAATTAGTCCAGGCCTAATTCAGGAAAGATGTGCGACTCTTGCTCAGTGTAATTAACCCTGCCCATCAGCGGTGTAATCAGCAGCTGAGTGTATCACAATAAACCTACACACATTCATTTACCTCTGTGCTGTATGACGAGTGTATGAATTAAAACATGGCCGCGTGATTAATGGAGTCCACCAACACTCAACAATTACTGTCCTCTGTGTGTCGTGAATAATGGCGGTTTGGTGAACACTGGAGTCGCTGAGGAGTCTGCAAGCAACAAATAAGTCACGCCGTGGGGACATATGTGTCTTGTTAATGTGACTTCAACACAGATCTAAAACAAGTTTACACACACACGGTTATTGAAATATTAAAGATCCCATATTATTCGAAATGGATTCTTGTGATGTCCCATGTTATAATGTTACCTTCTCAAAAACATACTAAAAGTTGTATTTTGTTTCATTCACACGTTTGTGTAACCCTGCATTATTATGGTCCGTTCAGACCAGAGCGTCACGGGTTCCAGTTTACATACAGAGCCTATGTGGACATCCGTCTAGGGCATCCTGCATTTTTGCGGCGTGTCTTCAGGCACGTGGTCCGAATCTGGCGTCAGGGACTACTATCCCATAATGTAGCGATCTTATTATCCAGAAGAAAGAGAAGAAAAAGAAAGACCTGAGAGCCACAAACACCAGAACAAGAAATCTAAGTCGTGTCATTATCAATTATAAATATGCCAAGCTGATCACCAAGCTGATCGCCAAGATTACACCAGGACTGGACCAGAGCTAAACCAGGACTAAACAAGGACTAAACCAGGACTAAACAAGGACTAAACCAGGACTGAACAAGGACTAAACCAGGACTAAACAAGGACTAAACCAGGACTGAACCAGGACTGAACCAGGACTGAAAAAGGATATAAATATATACATGCCTCTCCTGATGCGGTTTATGTAATAAATACACTAAAGTCACTCTCTCGACCAGGAAAACAAGGCACTCGCAGACTACAACGGACGCCCTGGACTTGCATCAGTTATTTTCCCGCTGGTTTGCGTTTTCCAAGACGCACATTAGGGCATCTGAACTCCAATGCATAGGTGTCCAAATAGAGGCGTCCAAGGCATTTTTTGATGCCGCAGTCTGAACGCAGCTTCAAACTGTCTACATTGCCAAAGCTCAAAATGCTCTGTTCCACCTTGTGATGTTATGTAGTGGTAACAGCTACCTTCAACCTTTTGTTCAATAGAGATTGTTCATCTGAGGGGCTGAAATCATCCAAACAATTCTCTTGAAGGTGTATGGAGTTTAGAAACATAGTGGAGCACTTTTTGTATTACCACATGACATCACAAGGTGGAACAGAGTGTGGTCAGTTCGAGAGAAGAACTCAAAATGCCTAAATATGCAGGATTTGTGTGTTAAAAATGTGTGAATGAAACAAAACACAACTCCAGGTATGTGTGTAATGAGGAAACAACATTATAACATAAGACATCAGCGTAATAAAGGCCCTTTAAATACAGAAAATTGTGAAAACTTTAGCAGACAAAGTAAAGTCATTTTTCATTGTCTGTGTATAATTAATAAGTGGATGGAATTGCTACTTACATGCTTTGATCAACTTAATGCTATATGTGCAATTTTAACAATTCTGAACAAAAGGTACAATTAAAGGGTTCATATTACACTATTTTCTGATCTATGTTATGATCAAAAACATACCTGGAGTTTTTAACACAAGGCGGAACAGAGCATTTTGAGCTTTGGAGACAGACTAATAATAAAGGGTTACTCAAACATGTGTGTATGAAACAAACACAACTCCAGATATAATGATTGACAAGCTAACAACATTTCAACATGGCTTAAAGCTCACAAGAGTGAATATAGGACCTTTAACAGCCAGGGAACTACATTTCAGTTGTTTAATTGTTTGCTATGATGACATATTCTGTTTATAATATGCACTCATCAAAACATATCTAGTCAAGTAAAAACTGGGCCCTATTCACTTTTATAACTGATCTAAAACAGGCAGGCCTTGGACAAACGGATAACATGTCCAAGATTAAGTTTAGAAATTCACAACAGGCTGCTTCCATTGGACAGGTGAAATTACCAAATGGCTCATTAAATTACAGCTTGTTTATTAACATTCATCTATCAATTTAATAAT